ATGAATTGGGATTCCCATGTGGATGGTGCCAGCAACTTAACTTTTAAAATCTGCACGAGGTACAAGATTGAACACTGCCATGTGTGAAGAAGAATGAAAACAACTAAAACATCAATTTATTATGCAGATCTCAGAACTGACTCCCTCCAAAGGGATATGTGGGTACAAAGGTTATTTACCAATAGCATTTTTAATCAAAAAAAAGGTAATTTTTTTACATTTTATTCCTAGATTATTTAAAGCAGCTAACATTTGGGAACATTAGGACCAATGTTTCCATGATTGCTGACAATGCTCTAATGTACTAGATCACTAAGGCATGTAGGATGCACTATGATATACAACCCATTTCAATATTGCATTTCCCAATCACTTCCAAATTAATATCAATTTCTTTCTCCCTTACTTTGTATTAATTTTTATCTCAAACTTTTTTCAACTTCAGAACATGCTACATAAATAGTTCATCTTGTGCGCTATAATATCACTCCACAACTCTCGGAAAACACGCTGCAGCAAAGAATGAATGCTATTTGCATTACATTCATAACAAACAAACCCAAAAACGGTTTTTGTAACCCAAAAGACAGAAGATGTTAGCATTCCAAAATGGAACTCTAAAGTATAGCAAGAATAGGGATAAGATGACTGGAATACTGAACAGTTTTGGTCCCTCATCTAAGGAGGCCACACGGCAATTTTATACAAAGTTGATCCTGGGTACAAAGAGATGTCTTACGTAGAGAGGTCAAGTAGGTTGGGCTTGTACTCATTGAAGTGTACAACAATAAGAGGTGACCTTACTGAAACATACACGATTCGAAGCGGATTTGACAGGGTGGATAGAGAAGTTGTTTCCCCTTTTAGGACAGTCTACAACCGGAGAGCTAATCTCAGAGTAAGGGGTTGCTCAGTTGGTACAGAGACCTTCTCTCAGAGCATTGCGAATCTGTGGAATTCCTTACTGCAGTCAGCTGTAGAAGCTAGGTCATTAAGCATATTCAAGGCTGAGACAGACGAATCTTTAATCAGTAAGGAAATTAAGGGTATGGGGAAACGGCAGAACAATGCAACTAAGGGCCATCAGATCAGCCATGATCTAACTGAATAATGGATCAGACTTGATGGACTGAATGGCCTACTTCTGCTCTTACCTCTTATGGTCTAAAGACTCTTGGATGCATGGTAAAATTCCTTATACAATGTCCCAGCACAATTTAGCCCAAAACTCAGAAACCTCGTACTGCTCTAATATGTTTGCTTTCATTTTCCAACTGAGTGAGATTATCAGTTTCGTGCCAAATTAGGAGCATTTCGCAGGGTGGGTTTGAAATGCCTAGAACTGCATTAAGCTTATACAAACTCACTTCATAAAAGGACACTCCAGACGTTTAGATTTCCATAATTTAACAAGTCGTGAATCAAATCAGACAAGTAACAAGAGCAACTTAGCTGGAGGTTCAACCACTTCACGTGGTCTTCAAATTACTACAAACAATGATGGCCTATTAATTTACAAGCAAATTCAGAGCACAACTATTATATCAGTGCAACAAATATACTGAAATCTACAATGTAGAAATTTAGTTAAATAGATCTAGCTTTGTTTCATCTTCTAGTTACACCTTTCTTTTAAACTTTTGATTTGGAATGGATGTCAGAATAGTGTGCCAAGTTTCTTTTTAAGTATGTTACAGTACTTATGCAAAGCCATAAGCAGAAGTACAACTTCCTAGCTTCTGTTATTCTCCATTTTCTTTATCTCTTCTTTCTCACCCCAAATGAAAATGGTCTGGGTGCATACTTGAAAAAAGGTAGGCACAGAATACAAGCCAATCATTGCAAGATGTGTTAAACCAGGCAATTATTTTGCAAATACAGTTCTGGCTGTCACATGTTACAGTCTAAAGAATCAAGAGTAGGAAGTAATAAGAAATGATTTCAATTTCAAACATTCTTTATGTTGCAAACAAACTCACATCCCCCACCCCCCTCGAAACTGCATGACTCCAGCACTAGTCTCAAACAATTTAGTTTTAACAGTGTTCCAACTGGAAAGGAAGCTTAATAAATTAGCAAAACTGACAAGATAATACTTCATTTTAGTTGTTTAGAATAAATATAAATAAATAAATCAGTGAAACAGATGCCATCCACAATCAGTTCACTTTAGTTAAATAATAATTAATCCAAAATGTCATAAATAATAAACTTTCTGCTTCAAAGTCATAAAGAAAATGGACAGGAAATGTTCAGGAGAGCTTCTCGTATTTCTTCTCCAACAGCAACAAAACGAATTTCAGAGAATATTTTGCCTGAAGTTGATATTTATCTTATCAAACAGCTACTTTCATGTTGAGGATCTGAAATCTGGCAACCGCACATCGGCGTTAACTACAAAAGCATTTATGTTTTTCAAAACTCTCTTCTTAGAAGTTTTTTGTTGAATTCAAGGTGAATGTTAAACTACTGGAAACAAGCAGTTTCTGTAAGTAATTCTTAGGAAATTTAAAGCCATAAAAGGAACAAAACCAGTAGTGTTCAACAAAA